CCCTGCACTACTTTTACAACCTGCAGGTGTTTGGTGGAAGATAAAAGTGGTTCCTGGGGTGGATTTCACCTCCTAGAATTATCAAAGTAAAGGTTTCCCTTGATGTGCTCACTGTGGGTGGCAGTAATTATAAAGAATGATTTGAAATACTGGTTTCTACATCACTTCAAAAATCTGAAGTCTCTAAAGTTCATTTGAGTAATCTTGCCTGAATCTTAGTGCTGTTCTCATTGAACTTGTGAGAGACTAGATGAGCATTTCTACCCTAAAGGATCTCCACCTCCACCAGCCTTCTTGGGAGCTCTAGAGCTCCACATTCCTACCACTGGCCAGAACAAGGTTCCTGAAAATTTGCCCTAATCAGACAGGAGCTGAAATGGCCCAGTAGAAGTGGTTGAGATGGATAGGACTGTGGGGAGAGGTGGGGGTAAAGAGCTGTGGCAGTGCCCAGGGTGGTCCCCTTTGGAAACGAAATCTGTAGAGTTCAGATGATGCTGGATGGAAGAAGACCTGCCCCCTGAAATGTTGTTTGGCTTCGGCCAAATCTTGCCTCTCCTCTGTCCCTGTGTTTCCACATCTGCAAAATGGGAAAGTGACTGGATAACTTTTAAAGGATCTTTCCATTCTCAGGTTCTGTCCCCTCTCTGAGCTTTCTGACCCTTGGGATCTGGGTGGCCCAAGAGGCCAGAAAACTGCTTCTGAACAGCAAGGGGGTGAAACTAGATAGGTTTGGAAGGAAGGGAAGAGAAGGGATTGATTAAACTGTCCTAGAGCCTTCCCAAACCCCTTCCTCATCTTCCCCCACTGAGCCCTTGGAATCCCTGACAGTAAGGTAGAGGAAAGACTTCTCTGCTTTCCCTTGCACAAACCCATGAGCAGGACTTGGAAAGGGGAGCTGGAGAAAACAGGACAAGGTAAGATTTCCCAGGGGAAGGCCTTGCTAACTTTAAGTCCCAGCTGGGAACAGCCCCCAGCCCAGGACAGTGCTGCTATTGTCTCCAACAACTCCAGGATTGGCTGAATGCCCAAGATGCTTTGATTTCTCTTCCCTTTGCTCTGTTTGTCTGCCAGAAGGCTGGGACCATTTTTGTTTCCTTTTGGCAGCAGCTTACAGAGAGTTTGTATATATCTAAAATATAGTGAGCAACTGAATTTCCACTGCCAGCCACCTCTCTATGAGACAGAAGCCAGAAGAGGCAGGCAGGTAAGAGAGTTACCTGTTCTGCCTCTCCCAGTGATGCTCCAGGAGGGAAGTGGAAGAGAGAAGGAAGGAGGCTTTCAGTGCCAATCAAGGAGGACTCTGGGGAAGTGTTGAGCAACAAGGGTTCTGGGAGCTTGCCAGGTCAGACAAAATCTAATGTCTACTACTCCAGGAAGCCCTCCCCCAGTAACACCTCACCCCCACCTGCTGGCAAGAGTTCCTGAGCCTGTAAGGGGACGGACTGTCAGGACTGCCCTCCAAACTTGTTCCCAAGGCCAGAGGCTGAACTTCTTCCCAGTCCTTCATCACATTAGTCTTCGTATCCCACTCCCATTTATGGAGGTGGGAGTTGGGGGGGTTGGGGGGGTGGGGAGGATATCTTTAGCCGGAGCCCCAACAACAATCTGGGGGCCCACACAGGCCAGTTTATAAGCTGTTTCTATTTCCAGAGAATTGCAGAGAACATACTTTCTTTATCCACAGCTGTCCCTACCCCTAAAGAGGTAGTAAGCCAGGCCTTTGTATACTGCTTTCTAAATAGTTAAATGTGTCTGAGGAAGGGGGAGTGGGTATGGGAAGGACCACCCAGACACAAGGGCTAGAAAGCTTAGTTCTGATGGAGCTCACAGGGAAGGAAAGAGGCTGAGCAAGAGAACACCTTCTACTTGAAGCCAGGGTGACATCCTCAACCTGAGCCATCTGCCACCACCCAGAAGGATTGTATCAGGCTTTTCTGCCATGGATAAATGGGGAGATTCTGCTCTGATTTTCAGCCTCTCTTCTTACTCCACCTTCCAGGTAAAAGGCCATTCTCTGATCTCAGGTTGCAGCCTCTGACACTAGAGACTTGACAGGTGCTATTGGCCTAAAGCTGCCTACAGGGAAGGGGTATACATTCCCAAGTTTGGCCACTAAACATAATGGATGGCGGGGGGGGTGGGGGGGCACCAGGGATCCCTGCTTCCCTCCTCTACATCTCAGGGTCACTGACCCTGCCCAGCCCAGATAACAAAAGCCAGCCCAAAGCATGAGTGAGAAGCCTGGGAGAATGCCAAGGAAAGAAGGTCTAACCTAGTTCCTCCTACATGGACCCTACCTACACTGCTCATCAGCCACATATATTATTTAATTCTTATGTCAATGTCAGAGATTATGTGACTTGCCCAAGATCTCATAAGCAGTAAATGATAGATCCAGACCTTGAACCATGTCTTCTCCTTTTCAATTTGGTCATCTTCCCACCTCTCCCATCCAATCCAAGTTAAACCTCCCTGAGTATTCCAGCTCACAGTGTTTTCCCCTGTGGTCTCTGTGCTCCCTCTTAGAGTATGAACTTCTAAAAAGCAGGTACCCTGCAACCCTAGAACTTAGCAAAGGGGTGGACACATAACAGACCTTAAAGGATGTTGTCTCAGTCAGTAATTAGATTTACTCCTTGGTGATAATGAATTTAATTAAATGGCTTTTCTCTTTTGTTATTCTTTGGGGAATTTCTCTGGTTTTAATCCAAAACACATTTCCAGGCCCAGTGGAAGTGACACTGAACCAGGCTGTTCCACAGTGAAGCAGGCTGCTTGTAGCGTAAAAAAGACGAGTTTCTACTTCCCTTCCTGTTCCCTGGGGTCTATGGCTTTAGGTTGCTCTGATTGAGCTCAGCTGCACTCAGGAAATCACTTTGTTGGGGAAAAGAAAGGTCATCTTGGAGCTTGGAGCAGCCAGAGGGCACTAGGCCCTGAGTTGGAATGGTTAGAACTGCAGACCAGTTTCTCCCACATTGGTCTTTGGAGTTTGGCAAGAAATTTTCCCAGCAGGCAAGCCCTGCCCTGGAAGCATCCACAGAAATGCTGGACTTCACCACAGTTGTTAGCAATGGTGGGCCTGCGGTAGAAGCAGAGTCCCAAGGCCCAGGCAATTACAAATCTTTCTCTATGGACTTTATGTCTTGCGGAGTCTGGTAAGAAGGAAGGAAGTCTCAAGAGCTACTTACAACAGAGCCTTTCTGCTTGAGTACCCAGCCATACTCAGCTGTTGCCCCAAGAGCAATCCAGGGGCCCATACAGCTAGTTTAGAGACTATTTCTATATCCAGAGAATTCCTGAGGATACATTTTCTTGGATCCTCCTATTCCACCATCTTCCATACACTTTCTTTATCCACAAGAGGATAACAGGGAAGAAGAAAGTGCTATGCACATATGCTGCTTTTTAATGCGTAGTTACTACTTGGCCAACAGCATCATACATGTATTGATTCCTCCACTGGCATTTTGCTGGAAGAATGGACCAACAGATGTGGCAAACCAGTTAGGTGGTTCATCCCCTCAGTCTGAAATTTCCCTTTCCCCAGGACTGAGGCTCTGGAAATAATGTTAATTGACACGTTTTCAAAAAGCAGTTTGGCAATGTGTAGCAAGAGCCATAAAAATGTTCATGCTTTTTGACCCAACACCCTCACTTCTGGGAATCTGTCCTAAGGACATTCTCCAAATAACTGATACAAAGACTATGTAGTAACAATGTAATGTTAATGATGTAATGGTAAACAAGTCTGGAAGAACTGACCAAGAAATTGGCCGGAGAGAGTAGTGGTTGTGTTAGAGTAATGAGTTTATTGTAGATTATTTTTCTCTTTTCCAAACCTTACATGTTAGAATATCGATTTTACCCTCCTCTGCCACTCAGGGTTAATCATTCAGAAACCTGGCAGAAACGGTACTCAGGATAGTTGATGAAAGCTTAATAAAGGAACTATGCCGTTTCCAGTCCTTTCCACCCTGGTTTCTCCAACTAGCAGTGATTTACTCAACAATTGAGCACCTACTTATTGTCTAGTTATAAGGAGCACAATGAAAGAAGCAACTACATCAGGCGGAAGTGCGAATCAAGGAAGGCTTCAAAGAGAGATGACCGATTCATGTTGTTTTGAAGGTTGTCTGCCAAGACAACAGGGCCACAACACGTACAAAGGCAGAAACGCCTGGAATAGCATGGTGCCTTTAGGAAATTACATGTAACTCTGTAGGGCTGGAAAGAACATCGGGTGGGTGTGAAGGAACTATGAGAGAGGCTTTAGTTAGATCATGCAGGGCTCCGCGCTCCAAAAGGGCTTTGTGTTCTAGAGCAATCATCAAATTTGCATTTTAGAGAGATAACTCTGGCTTCAGTGGAGAGTGGACTGAAAGGGGCAAGTGTGGAGGCAGAAAAGAGCGAAAAGGAGTCTTTGGGTCTTGGCGGGTCAGTCAGCAGATACCCTTTCTCAGCACTGGCGTCTCCTAGCTCATACTTGGCCAGCGCCGTGCGTCCTCGGGATCTCCCTCCCTGCTTCTCCCCCAGGGCCCCGCAGGCGGCTGGGGAAGCAAGGCGTGGGGTGGCCCTGCCTGGGTGGTCTCCTGCCCCGCCCCCACCCGCGGCGCCGTTGCCTAGCAGCAGATCCGGCCGCGCGGCTCCGAGTAATTTACGGATCCCTCAGCCAATGGGAGGGCGTCGTCCCGGCCCTCTCCCTTTTTCTGGGGCTAAGGACGCCTCCTCCTCACTGCGTTCTCCACCGCTTGCCGCGCGGCTTGTCGCGGGCCGGTAGCTCTGCCTGAACGCGGGACTGACTCCGGCACCCGCATCTCCTTGCGCTCTTCCCCCTCACAGCCGCCGCTGCTCACCAGCATCCCACCCCTCACCCACGCCGCGTCTAAGCGGCCCCACTGAGTCCCGACGCCGGGCCCCGCAGTACAGGGGTACCAGGCCAGCCTATGGAGAATCCCAGATAACGCGAGTTGGGGGCGCCCACGCCCCCCATCCCCGCCAGCATGGCTCGGCCGCCGCCACTCCAGGAGCTGCCCCCTGTCTATACACCCCCAGCTCGAGCCGCATCACCCCAGGTGAGTGGAGTGGAAACGGGTTAGAAAGATTGGGACCAGGTCTAGAGACCCCAGGTCTGTCACTCAGCAAGGTGTGATGTCTCTAAAGTGCAGGGTGTTATTGCCCACCCCTTAAGGGTGTGTGTGCCTTTATGTGTCTCCTCAACATCTGGCCGGTGAGAGTGTGTCTGGGTTTCACCTCTGTCCACCTGAAAACAGATGTATGTATATGTATTCTACTCTCAGAAAAGGGGTCTGTGCCTTCCTTGGGTGTGTATTGGGTGGGTGGCAGGGAATAGAGTTAAATCTTTTCCAAGTTTGGGCCTGTGTCTCTGTAGGTCCTACCTGTCCTGCATCCAGAAAGCAAGAAGCTAGGGCTTGGGCAGAGGATGTACATAAGGAGAAAAAGGAAGGATTTCATGCATTGTTGCAGTAATGCCTGGCTGACCCTTCTCTTTCCATCCCAGATCCTAGCTGGGAGCCTAAAGGCTCCACTCTGGCTTCGTGCTTACTTCCAGGGCCTGCTCTTCTCTCTGGGCTGCGGGATCCAGAGACACTGTGGCAAAGTACTCTTCCTGGGCCTGTTGGCCTTTGGAGCCCTGGCACTGGGTCTCCGTGTGGCCATCATTGAGACAGACCTAGAACAGCTCTGGGTGGAAGGTGAGTTGTGGACACTAGTCATAGCTGCTTGGATATGGTGAGCCTAAGACAAGAACAGCGTGAGGAGCTGACTACTGAGTTCTAGTGGGCTTGGCTCTGGGTCTGGAAGGGGTACCTGTCTGCCAAAGCCTGGGCGTCTGGGAGCAGTGCTCCCTCCCACACCTGTAAATGGACATCTGCAGATGATGGAGTCCTGTGGATAGGTATATAGAATAGTTATCTGTGAGCATGTGTGTGTTTATTTAGCAATTATTGCCAACTTTTTATGTGTATTTTTTATGGCATGGCAGGGTTTGTAAAGGCAACCAAACTAAGACCCATCTTTCAGTAGCAAGGAAAGTAAAATATGTGTTAGGATGCAATATAATGTAGAGCAGAATGTGATTACATTGAATAAGAGAAGGCAAGGAGAGATCACACCTAACCAGGAGAATCTGGAAAATTAGAACTGGGCTGGGGAAACTGAGTAAATCATCTGGCAAGCCTCCATGGAGAGGTCCCATGCACCTAGGCCCCCTGCAATTAGCGGGAAAAAGCGGCACAGGGTCTGCACTTTGAGGCAACAGTGGAATCAGATGCAACCAAATCCTCACTTCCTAATGGAAGCGTTAAAGATGGTTTCTTATTAATAATTTTGGCATAACTCTTCTTTCCTGAGGCCTGGTTTCATATGTTAGCCCTTCAATAGAGTCAAACTCTTACCTGGTCTTTCCTGGGAAATTTGCATTTGTGGCCTCCCCCAAACTCCCCTAGCCCTGGCCCACACCCAAAGGCAGGGCCAGGTTAGAGTCTCACACCCTTGAGTTATTTCAAACACTGGCAAGCCCTAGGATGCACAGCAGATGTTTCTTGGAGCCTGCCCGCCTGCCTGTTGGGCTCCCACACCCCATCCCCACCCTGCCGCAGCCCTCTGCAGGCTCACACATACATATCCACTCTAGGCCAGCCCTGGGGTCCAGAGCAGATGTTTCTCTGTGCCTGCCTGCCTGCCCCCAGCCCCAGGACACACATGTGCATACACGCACATACACATACCCCCACCCACACACCACTGCTGCCTGGGTGGTCCCAAATGACTGTTGGATTTCCTGCTACAATAGAAGCTGTCTCTCCCCTCTTCCTCTTTCTCCATTTCCCAGAGCTTTCCCATCTAAACACTGCTTGAACCTCCATGTTCCTGTTCCTTATCTTCTCTCCTATTACTCCAGCACAGGACAAGCTAGATCCCACCAGATTTTTTCTGCTGTTTGTGGAAGGGTGATATTAGAGGGTGGTATCCAATTCCTAGGGCTTTTTCCTTTATTTCAGAATCCTGCTGTGTCCTATATCAGCTAGAGCTGGGGGTGAGGTCAAAGCAATGATCCTGACCTGATCTTGTCTCTGTACATCTATAGTTGAGGCTTCTCCCAGCAATGCCCTAGGCAATGAGGAGCTGATCAAGGTGAGGACTGAAGAGTATTTCTCTATTCCTTTCCTGTTTTGCTAATACATGAAGCAAAGAAAGAAGCAGGACACTCACTGGTTATCAGAGTTCTGGACCAGAGTTCAGGGTCCCTTACAACTTTGCCATGGTGAGAGACTTGGAAAGTAACTTGTCCTTCCTGATCAACTTTAAAGCTAAAAGGCCCAGAGATAGATTGACCTCTAAAATTAAAAAACACAACACATAGCCCAACCAATACTTACAGGAACAGTGAGAGAGATGGTTTGAAATTGGAGCTATCCCTGAAAAGAAGGAACATGTAGCCATTCTATCTAGAAGGCAGGATGCAACATATCAATCGGTGGAACGACTATCCACTCAAAGACACAAGGCTGAAACCTTGGGAGTCAGCCTCAGTTCTTCTTGCTTACCTAACTGGTTACTAAGCCAGCAAATTCTTCTTTGTTAACCTTTCTCATAACAGACTCCTCCTTTCCACCCATGTGGCCATTGCTCTAGATGAGGCCTTTCTCAGTCTCTGGTAGTACACTCCTGATTGTATCATTTGATATGCTTTTAGCCACGTGAAAGAGGAAAAAAAAAGGAAAGGAGGGTGGAGGAAGGAAGGAAGAAGATTGATTTATTATCCCTGTAACAAGAAATCTGGTAGTACACAGTAGAGAAGTTCCAGGATGGTTAATTCAAAACCTAAGGACATCAGTAAGGACACAGGTTCTTCCTGTCTTCTCCTCTGCCTTATTCAGCATGTTGGCCTTTTGTCCTCAGGCTTACCACCTCCTTGTCCCAAGTGGCTATTGCAGTGTCAGAAAAGGGACGTCATCCCGTCCTGTCTGGGGGAAATTTTGGAAGTGAGGGAAATTTTACCAGAAGCCCCCCAGCCGACTTCCCATTTGGTCACTTTGGCAAGAACTGTGTAGCTTCATATGCCTAAACCCTTCACTTGGCAAAGGCAATGGAATTACTGTGATTAACTAATCAAATTCCACCCCCCTGAGGCTGGGGAGGGATCCAGCTGCCCTGAATCACTGGGCCTTTCAGAGAATGGCCAACAAAATCAAAGTCTGTTAGAGAAGTGACCAATCTTCTGCAAGCCTCACCTTCAACTCTGCCTCTACACTGCCCTCCTGTGGTGTATATAAATCTGGCCAAGTCCATCCCCTGCTTAGAGTCCTTCTACCACTTTCTATTAGGGTCTGGGGAGACTCCAGAATCCAGTTCCTTAGCATACATTCTAGGCCCTCACAACCTAACTTGATTTCTTCTCTAGCATTGTCTCTCTTCCACTCAGCAATGCTGAGTCTTTGACAGTTCCCTACACATAACTTGGCCCAGAATGCCCTTTCCTGACCTTCTTCCCTGGCCAATTCCTATTCATTCACAGTTCAGCTCCAGAATGTATTGTTCAGTGATGAAAAAGGTCATCTCACTTCTCTGCTCAAAAGCTACCATGGCTCCCAGTTCACTCCAAGAAAGCCTATGTCTTTGCTTATAGGCCCTTGCATGGAGAATTTCTGGACCAAGGATTACGAACATTTCTCAAGGTCTGATACATATTACAATATTGCTTTCCCCCAAATATCATACCAAATTACACTTTGGTGGTAGGAAGAGTCCACTCCTGTAAGCCAGCAATGAGTGCTATCAATTTTTTTTTTATTTTTGCTAGTTTGATAGACAGTAATTTACTGCTGTTTTAATTCACACTTACAGGATTACATATAAGGTGGGTTCTTTTTCCATGCTGGCTAACCAGTTATATTCTCTCTTTTGTAAAGGCACAAAAGCATTCAACAGACTTGATTTTAACATCTCCTCCTTTTCTCCTACTTCTTCCCCATTCAATCTTTGTTACTCCAAGTTCTTTCTCGTTTTTCTGTCCCACAGTCTCTCTCCCAGCAGCTATTAAATAACAATTCTTGTCTGTACCTACTATGTGTTGGGCAGTTAGTGCTTTGCCTGCATTGATGCTAATTCTACCAAGGTAGGTATTGTCCCCACTTGACAGATGAGGAAACTGAGGGTCAGAGAGACTAAGTAATTTTCCCAAAGCACAGACTAAGTGTCAGAGCCAAGGCTCAAACCCAGGTCTGTACAGAGTTTCCAGGCTCTCCCTTCCACCTGCTGTCTCTTCTTGCCCGCACAATACATCCCAGTTCATCTGTCCTCATGTCTATCATCATCATTGTTGTCAGCAGAAGTTTACCTTTTGCTTTTCCTCATTTTTTCTTAGGATTCCTTATTTTCTTTGATGTTATGCTTTACATTGCCAGTATTTCTCTTGCTTTCTTTTTTTTTTTTTTAAGTTTATTTATTTTGAGAGAGAGTAAGTGAGCAGGGTAGGGGCAGAGAGAGAGGGAGAGAGAGAGAATCCCAAGCAGGCTCCACGCTGTCAGCACAGAGTCCGATACAGGGCTAGAACTCACAAACTGTGAGATCACGACCTGGAGCCGAAACCAAAAGTTGGATGGACTGAGCCACCCAGGCACCCCTCTCTTGCTTTCTTGATAGCCCTCTCTGGGTTCCTTCCTTCTCCTGTGCCTCCCTCCCCTCAGCAAACTCACTTACAATGAAGAGCTTATTTTTGCCCCTCCTGTCCCTCCTTGTAGCAGGTTTGGCCTAAGCCTGGTGAAATAAACACTGTAGTACAGTACAGGCCTGGGGAGGAAGGAGAGTCAGAAAAGGAAGAAAAATATATGGAAGCAGGCAGCATGGCTATGGGAGGCTACATTCGTGAGAGAGGGCCAGGAATGTGATTTGAGTGGGAAAATGTGAGCAGATGGGCAAATCTGTGTTGGGGGGTTGCTACTAAGGGTTTGGGACTCTCATGAGTAAGGAGATTATATGGGCTTGAAAAAGAGATTGGGAGGGGCACCTGCGTGGCTCAGCGGGTTAAGCATCCAACTCAAATTCAGCTCAGGTCATGATCCCAGGGTGGTGGGATCCATGCTGACAGGGCAAAGCCTGCTTGGGATTCTTTCTCTCCCTCTGCATGCCCCCACCCTGCCCCAGTGTGAGCACATAGGCACTCTCACACACTCTCTCTGTCTAAAATAAAGCAAAAAAAGAAAAAGAGATGGGGGACCACGATGATCACCGATGGGGCTGGAGCCTCAGAGAAGATATACATGTGGGCCCCAGGAATGGCAGTGACCAACAGGCAGAGGTCCTGGACAGGTGGAAGCAGAACTGGGCCTAAGCCCAGACCAAGTCCATAAAGCCTCAGGAGTGATTTGGCACTTGCCCTTGCCCTCCTCCAAACCACAGGCAGGCCATATCCCCTCACAGCACCCCTCCCCTGCTAGGCCCCAGTTAGAGACCATGACTCTGTGGCCAGTACAATGCTGGACTTGAGGGTTGCCAAGATCAAGGAGACTAAGGCAGGCCTGGCGCTGGGTCTCCCTGTTGCCTGGACAGTGAGACTGGTGAAAGGGATCTGGGAACGTTTTCTTCCCCTCGGTCCATGTTGCTGTCACCTCTGCCAGGGTACGTGAGCTGATTCCAGGTACTTCTTGCATGAGTGGAAGCAGTATGTTGACAGCGTCACACTGAAAGACTATCTGATCCTCCCTCTCACCTGTGCCACCACAGGGCCCATTATTACCAGGCACTTCCATCCCCACCCTCTTGGCAGAACAATTTGCAAAAAGATGTATGGCTATAAAGCATTGCCTGGGACAACCTGAACTAAGAACCAGTCCTAGCACTAGATCTGTTCTTTTAGAAGACCCTGCCAATGGCAACCTCTCTATTGGTCCCTTTTGTCCCTCCTTGTCTTCCTTACCAGAGCAGAGAGGGACTGAGTGAGGGCTCCTTTACCAGGATACCTCCAAAACCGCAGCCCCAACCCAACTCATACTGACCTGTCATTTTGAAGTTATTTGCTCCAAACCTAGCCAACCTGATTCATGCTTAAATCTTAGACAACACAAGAATTCTATAGAGCCATACAACTGAGGTCTCTCACTTCCCTGCAAAGCTCCAGATTCCAGCCAGAGGGCCAGGAGCCTGTGGAGTCAGAATGGCCATCAGGGGAAAAGTAGGGGCTCCTTTCAGAGCACTTCTCCCACTTTTCCTGGGAAGCCTCAGCAGGCTAGGGTCCCACATTCCCCAGAGCTCCAATCCACTAAAGCTCTTTTCCCCAGCTTTCTCTCTGTCTCTGGCAGTGGGCAGCCGGGTGAGCCAGGAGTTGCATTACACCAAGGAGAAGCTGGGGGAGGAGGCTGCGTACACCTCCCAGATGTTGATACAGACCCCACACCAGGAGGGGGAGAACATCCTCACGCCTGAGGCACTGGGCCTCCACCTCCAGGCAGCCCTTGCAGCCAGTAAAGTGCAAGTATCACTCTATGGAAAGTGAGTCTGGCTGAGTCCCTGAGCAGCTGGGAGTGAGGCATGCTGTGGCAGAGCTGGCATGGGAATCTGCCTCTTCTGCTGATCTCTTGTGCCCTGGCTATTCCAGGTCCTGGGATTTGAATAAAATCTGCTACAAGTCAGGAATTCCCCTAATTGAAAATGGAATGATTGAGCGGGTGAGTACCCTGAGCTGTTCTTTGAGATGGGGTCAAGGTGGAACCTTTTCTGCAGCAGGGGAAGGTTCTCGGAGATGGGGAGGCTAAAAGTCAGGAGGGGAGGGGAGGGGGTTGCAGAGGGCATTCTACAGAGATTGTGGAGAAAGGAGCCCAGGGACAGGACTGATGTGGCCTGGGATGTCCCTGGCAGATGATTGAGAAGCTGTTTCCGTGCGTGATCCTCACCCCCCTCGACTGCTTCTGGGAGGGAGCCAAACTCCAAGGGGGCTCTGCCTACTTGCCGTGAGTGCCACCACAGCTGCTCCCAGGCCCTGCTTCCTAGGCCGGGACTTTCCCAGCAGAAGAGAGGGTGGGAGTAAAGATGATGATCAAAACCTTACTAAGGGCCTAAACTACCTGTCAGGCCAGGGCCAGACTGCCCCAGGGCTCTCTCCACATCCCCCTTCTCCTTTCCTCTGAAGGAAAGGCAAACTGGCCTTATTTAGACAAAACAGAACAAAGATCTGAATGAAAGAGAAAAAAAGATCCCCAGAAAGAGACTTTGCACGGGAGAGTTAACTAGGTATCAGCTAAGCTGTTGCCAGACTAAAAAGAAAACCTGTTACAGGCAGGTGCCCATATGGTTATGTATTAGAACCAAAGATAGATGCTTGGGAAGGGACTCAGTGGGGCTTTTTCTTGGCCTTGTCCATGTATTAAGTACTATCTGTCCTCCATCTCACTGCAGCAACCTGGTAAGCTGGTGTAGCCTGGGAGCTCTGGGAGGCTCAACATTGCACACCCTTCATATGGAGGGACAAATGAACAGCTAGGAGGAGGGTAGGGTACAGCAGGGGTCCCCTAGCAGCATTTTGGAGGGAGGGAATTGATCCTTTATCCTCACCAACCATGGGCTCTCCCCTCAGTGGTCGTCCTGACATCCAGTGGACCAACCTGGATCCAGAGCAGCTGCTCAAGGAGCTGGGCCCTTTTGCCTCCCTTGAGGGCTTCCGGGAGCTGTTAGACAAGGCACAGGTGGGCCAGGCCTATGTGGGGCGGCCCTGTCTGCACCCTGATGACCTCCACTGCCCACCTACTGCCCCTAACCATCACAGCAAGCAGGTGGGTTCCAGCCGGGTTTGCCAGGGAAAGGCTATTTTTCTTCCCTTTTCCCTCCTCATATGTTCTGAGAGAGCAGACTGTGCTCTGTCTCCCATTTTCTGGACATCGTTACCTTGCCCTCACTGTGCTAGATACCTGAATAACCTTTCCATTCGGTTCTCCTAAGGGACCTGCAAGTGGTATATGAATCCCTTGGTCCTTTTCTAAGCCCAGAAAACCTGGACTTCATCAAAATAGATTTGTACAGAGAAACTGAGGACCAATTAGCTAAGCACAAGTATCATACCTAGTTTCCTGAGTGTCTCTGTGGCCCTGTGAATGTGAACCTTTTTCCAAAACCCACCAAAGTTACTCTAGCACTTCCCCGAAGCCTATTTACAGGCCTCTTCTCCCTCTTGTGGCCTCCTCTCTGCAGGATAATAGCTGTTCACTATTAGGCAAGAGACTCAGAGTAGGCAAGAAACTCAGGAGAATACTTATCTACACTTCAGGCTATGGAACCCCATGGCAGGCATGGTTCCAGCCCAGGGACCCCGAGTTACCCAGAGCCAGAGCCTTGAATAATAAACCCCCCTCCTGTCCCCCTCTAGGCTCCCAATGTGGCTCAGGAGTTGAACGGTGGCTGCCATGGCTTCTCCCACAAGTTCATGCACTGGCAGGAGGAACTGCTGCTGGGGGGCATGGCCAGAGACGCCCAAGGACAGCTGCTAAGGTAAGGTCTTCATGGGGCCTGGTAAGGGGGCCCCAGGCATGGGAATCCACACTCTGATTCTAGGTGGCTCTGGCAAAACCCCCCTGTACAGGTCCTGCTGGGCGTTCAGGCCAGCTCTGCCCCCCAACTCTCCTCTACCCCTCACCAGGGCAGAAGCCCTGCAGAGCACCTTCTTGCTGATGAGTCCCCGCCAGCTGTATGAGCACTTCCGAGGCGACTACCAGACACACGACATCGGCTGGAGCGAGGAGCAGGCTGGCACAGTGCTGAGGGCCTGGCAGCGGCGCTTTGTGCAGGTCAGTGTGCAGAAGGGCAAGGGTGGCGCCCTGAGGCCACTCCCTCCTCCTGCCCCTCAGATCCACCCTGTCTCTCCAGCTGGCCCAGGAGGCCCTGCCTCAGAATTCATCCCAGCACATCCATGCCTTCTCCTCCACCACCCTGGATGACATCCTGCACGCTTTCTCTGAAGTCAGTGCTGCCCGTGTGGTGGGAGGCTATCTGCTCATGGTGGGTCCTGCTCCCGGCACCTTACCCCACCCTCTGCCCGGTGCTCAGCCAGGAAGCTGCTTTCCAAGACTGTGCCCTCCTTCCCCACAGCTAGCCTATGCCTGTGTGACGATGCTGCGCTGGGACTGTGCCCAGTCCCAGGGTGCTGTAGGCCTTGCAGGGGTGCTGCTGGTAGCCCTGGCAGTGGCCTCGGGCCTCGGGCTCTGTGCCCTGCTTGGCATCGCCTTCAACGCTGCCACTACCCAGGTACACCAGGACTACAGGGCACACTTGGGGTCCACAGTCCAGGCTCCTCAGTTCCTCCAGCTGCCCACCCCTGTGCCCCTCCAGGTGCTGCCCTTCTTGGCACTGGGCATCGGTGTGGATGACATATTCCTGCTGGCACATGCCTTCACAGAGGCTCCACCTGGCACCCCTCTCCAGGTGAGGCCTCGTTCTCCAGCCTGGGCTCATCTGAAGCGGTTTAGCATAGGGTTAAGAGCCTCTTGGCTTAGGTGGCCTTGGGCTGGTAATTAACCTGTCTGTGCCTCAGTTTTCCTCATCTGTAAACAGGGGTAATAATAGTGCTGGTGTCGTGAGGGTTGTTGTGAGGATCAGTGATAACTCAGGTTGAGTGCTTAGAACAATGTGCATGACACGTGTACAGTACTCAATACCTGTTAGCTGCCGTGTGGTTATTGTCCCTCCTCTGCCATCCCAAGCTCCCAAGCTTCCCCTTCGCTCTACCTTGAAGACCCATGGCTCCTCCCCTGTCCTGGCAGGAGCGCACAGGCGAGTGTCTGCGGCGCACAGGTACCAGCGTCGCACTCACATCCATCAACCACATGGTTGCCTTCTTCATGGCTGCCCTAGTTCCCATCCCTGCACTGCGGGCCTTCTCCTTGCAGGTGAGGCCTCAGGAACAGGGCCCAGGCTCAGGGTGAGCATGAAACGGGGGGCATGCTTCATCAGCCTTTGTGTCCCTCTTGTCCATCCCCCAGGCGGCCATAGTGGTTGGCTGCAACTTTGCAGCCGTGATGCTTGTCTTCCCGGCGGTCCTCAGCCTGGACCTGCATCGGCGCCACTGCCAGCGCCTCGACGTACTCTGCTGTTTCTCCAGGTACCATCCCTGCATCCCCACCCCACCAGGCCTCATCTCCTCGGGCCCCATCACTTCCTGTCCCCTCACCAGCATTTCCACAGACCTGCCACCCCCACTCTCTGCCTCTTCCAGCCCCTGCTCTGCCCGCGTGATTCAGATTCTGCCCCAGGAACTAGGGGATAGGACAGTACCAGTGGGCATTGCCCACCTGACTGCCACAGTTCAAGCCTTTGCCCACTGTGAAGCCAGCAGCCAGCATGTCGTCACCATCCTGCCTCCCCGGGCCCACTTGGTGCCCCCACCTTCTGACCCACTGGGCTCTGAGCTCTTCAGCCCAGGAGGGTCCACACGGGACCTTCTAGGCCAAGAGGAGGGGACAAGGCAAAAGGCAACGTGCAATTCCCTGCCCTGTGCCCGCTGGAATCTTGCTCATTTCGCCCGCTATCATTTTGCACCCTTGCTGCTCCAGTCACACAGCAAGGTAAGACTCTAGGCCTGGAGAAGTTGGGGTGCACCAGGCAGAGACTTAAGTGTCTCTGGGCCCCAAGAAGGGTAGACGGCCCATGCCACCTCCTGAGGGCTGGGGCACATCCCTGGGCCTCCAGCTTATTTGCCATTTCCCACAGGCCATGGTGCTGGTGCTCTTTGGGGCTCTTCTGGGCCTGAGCCTCTACGGAGCAACCTTGGTGCAGGATGGGCTGGCCCTGACAGATGTGGTGCCTCGGGGCACCAAGGAGCATGCCTTCCTGAGCGCCCAGCTCAGGTACTTCTCCCTGTACGAGGTGGCCCTGGTGACACAGGGTGGCTTTGACTACGCCCACTCCCAACGCGCCCTCTTTGATCTGCACCAGCGCTTCAGTTCTCTCAAGGCCGTGCTGCCCCCGCCTGCCACCCAGGCGCCCCGCACCTGGCTGCACTATTACCGCAACTGGCTACAGGGTAAGAGGCAAGGAAACTGGCGGGGGAGCTGTTGCGGGCAGAAGCCCCCAGGGCTGCAGGCTGACTGTACCCTACCTTGTTCTCCCCTAGGAATCCAGGCCGCGTTTGACCAGGACTGGGCTTCTGGGCGCATTACCCGCCACTCATGCCGCAATGGCTCTGAGGATGGGGCCCTGGCCTACAAGCTGCTCATCCAGACCGGGGATGCCCAAGAGCCTCTGGATTTCAGCCAGGTTGGAAGGGGGCTGGAAGGGTCAGGAAGCACAGAGAGGCTCTAGGCCTTATGGGCCCAGGCCTTCAGCTCTCTCTGCCTCTGCAGTTGACCACAAGGAAGCTAGTAGATAAGGAGGGGCTGATCCCACCCGAACTCTTCTACGTGGGGCTGACCATGTGGGTAAGCAGTGACCCACTGGGCCTGGCAGCCTCACAGGCCAACTTCTACCCCCCACCTCCTGAGTGGCTGCACGACAAATATGACACTACGGGGGAGAACCTTCGCAGTGAGTCTGGGGGGAAGCCCAACAAGAGCCTCAGCCTGGGCCCACACAGGCCCTATCCTAAGGCCCTGCCCTCTCCTCCTTGTGCTCACTGGCCACCCCTCCTCTCCCCGCTGCTCCCTACCCTCCACAGTCCCGGCGGCCCAGCCCCTGGAATTTGCCCAGTTCCCCTTCCTACTGCATGGCCTCCAGAAGACTGCGGACTTCGTGGAGGCCATTGAGGGGGCCCGAGCAGCATGCACCGAGGCAGGCCGGGCCGGGGTGCGTGCCTACCCCAGTGGCTCCCCCTTCCTCTTCTGGGAGCAGTATCTGGGCCTGCGGCACTACTTTTTGCTGGCTATCTGCATCCTGCTGGTATGCACTTTCCTCGTCTGTGCCCTGCTGCTGCTCAATCCCTGGACGGCTGGTCTCATAGTGAGTCCTTGCAGGGATGGGGCAAGAGAGACCCATGGCTCCCCACCCCTGTCCTGCCCAGCCCGTCATCCCTTCTCCCAGGAGCCTGAGTGAGCCCTGCCTTCCCCAGGTACTGGTCCTGGCGATGATGACTGTGGAGCTCTTTGGCATCATGGGTTTCCTGGGCATCAAACTGAGTGCCATCCCCGTGGTGATACTTGTGGCCTCTGTAGGCATTGGTGTCGAGTTCACAGTCCATGTGGCTCTGGTGAGCACAGGCACTGGGGGATGGGTGGGCCAGCTGATTCAGTGTCAGGCAAATATTTGTCAAGCACCTACTATGTGCTAGGTACTATTTAAGGATTTGTTTCAAAGCCTTGTTTGGACGCAAAAAAAAAAAAAAAAGAATAATTGGGGATACAGGGGCGCCTGGCTGCCTCAGTCCATACAGCATGGGACTCTTGATCTCAGGGATGTGAGTTTGAACCCCGCACTGGGTATAGAGATTACATACATACATACATACATACACACACAAACCAACTTACAACAAGATTTGGGGATATAATGCCAGTACAGACAGGCTTTACCTTCAAGGAGCTTATATTCTAGAGGGTAGAGATAAACAATAAACATGTAAACAACGAAATAAGCAGTCATTTCAGCAGAGAGGACGGGACAAAGGCCTGACCAAAGTGGGGACAGAATGGAAAGTGAGAAAACAGGAACCAACAATTCTTTTGGATGGCTTTACCGTGAAGGGATCAGAGAAATGGGGGGTGGTAGCTGGATGGCAATGTGGGGCAAATGAAGGATTCTTCCAAGAAAAAGATGGTAGAAGTGAGGTGGGCTCAGCCTCCCCCACAGCTCTGTGTTCTCTGGCAGAGGAGGAGTGGGAGCAGAGGTGGGGGCCACAGACCAGCTGTGGTTAGACCCCACAGACAGCTCCCTTTTCTCCACCATAATAGCCCTGTTATTATTCTGATTGTAAGAACAATATATAAGAACCTTGAAGGAGGGAAAAGTCAGCACGCAGAGAGGTACAAAGAAAGAATTAGAAATCCTCTGAAATCCCATCCAAACAAGTAACTGTGACCATTTGGTGTCCATCCTTCTGGACCCAGGATCAGCAAACTTTCTGTAAAGAGCCAGACAGGAAATATTTTAGGCTTGGCAGGTCACAGTGTCTCTGTAGAAGTTCTGCAGAGGTAGCACTAAAGCAGCCATAGATAATATGTAAATGAGTGGGTGTGGCAGTGTTTCAACTAAACTTTATTTACAAAAACAGGTGACAGGCTCTGTTTGCCAACGATTTTAGATGTCTCTGTGTCTCACCAGACATATGTATACAGTGTTACTTAAATAGACTCATGCAAAAATAAATAAATAGACCCATGCATACTTCCTGGATAGTTTCCAGGAGCTCAGTTTACCTGACCTGTGAGCCCTAGGGACAGATGAGAAGTTGAGGGCATGGCTGGCCAATGAGCAGCTATAGGGCCTCCTTTCTCCCCCAGGGCTTCCTGACCACCCAGGGTAGCCGGAACCTGCGGGCTGCCTGTGCCCTAGAGCACACATTTGCTCCCGTGACCGATGGGGCCGTCTCCACATTGCTGGGTCTGCTTATGCTTGCTGGTTCGAACTTTGACTTCATCATAAGGTAGGGGAGGCATGGGGCAAGGAGGTAGGGCCTCCTGTACTGGCCACAGGGGCTACCCAGGCTGACCACTTACCTCCACACAGGTACTTTTTCGTGGTGCTGACAGTGCTCACACTCCTGGGCCTCCTCCATGGGCTCATGCTGCTGCCTGTGCTGCTGTCCATCCTGGGCCCCCCACCAGAGGTGACCATACCCTCCCCCTGCTTCCAGCCCAGGGGATGGGTGGGACAGGCAAGGGAAGAGACAGAGCCAGGACAAAATCTCATTGGCCAAAAGACAGGGCTCAATTCACAAGGACCTTCCCCTTGAGGTCAACCGAGGGTGGCAGCCTCTCCCTTTGCCCAAACACCATGCCCCTGTCCCTCAACTTTCCTGGCTTCTTTATGGGACCCACCTTAATGTTTAGGGTCAAGAGCAACGTGCAGAGTTTGTCCCAGGCCTTGACATCCTGTCCCTTGTCAGCTCTTATTTGCTGCTGGAAGCCAACAAGGGCCACAACTTCCCAACAATCAGAGTGATGCACCAGTGAGCTGCTGAAGGGGACTGAGGTCCTGGTACCCCTGGGCTCACTGGGAGTGGTGTCTCCCCCAGGTGGTACAGATATACAAGGAGAGCCCAGAGGTCCTCAGCCCTCCAGCTCCACGGGAAGGAGGACTCAGGTGGGGGTTGTCCCCCACCCTGCCCCAGAGCTTTGCCAGAGTGACTACCTCCATGACAGTGGCCCTCCACCCACCCCCGCTGCCTGGTGCCTACATCCACCCAGCCTCTGATGAACCCACTTGGTCCCCGGTTGCCACACCAGCTGCCAGCGGCTCCAACAACCTCAGTTCTAGGGGACCATGCCCAGCCACTGGGTGATAGAGCACCTGAAGCATGGAGACCCTGCTTGGGTCACATGAAGTCACTGGGAAGCAGTGGGTGGGTTATTGAATGCAGGACAGACACCTGGAGAGCCCTGCTGCTGCTGTCTGCCTGCGTTCCCTTTCCTGCCTCAGCCATCACAGACCTCCCTGATACCCATGCAAAACCAGCACCCTCTGGGCTGGGAGAACAGCCTTGCACACCTGGTTCTGTGTTTGTGCCTTTCTGCGTGGGGGTAGAAGCCAGCACCTCAGGCTGCGGTTCATCCCTTTTCTCCCCGCCCTCCCATGTGCTACTGGCCCCTCGCAGGCCAAGCCTGGGGGATCCTCTAGCACCCTTTGCTAGTCCTGGCCCCCCACTGCTTGGTAACTCCTGAGTAGGCCGTCTGTATCTGCCCTCCTTCTACCACGTAAATTATTTATATGAAGATGTTTATTTTTGTAGTTTGTATAGATTTTAGCTATGCTGAAAGTTTTATTTTTAAAGAGTGAAATATATTCTATATGAACTCATCTCAAATGACTTTGGTGCTTTTCTTTCAAACAAACTTGGGAGTTTGCAACTAGAGGTATCATGGTCTAAGTTCCTGGGGCTACTCTAGTCCTGAAACGGAAGGGCCCCAGGTTCTAAATTTTTGTCACGTAATGTTGGTCTATTTATTCACCTGGCAAGTGAAGGTCATATTCAACAAATATACTGTGGTCATATAGTTGGTAACAGGACCTGGGGTAAGTGCTTAGTATACCAAATGATACAAATGTTTTTGGTGACACTGCTGTGTGGCTTTCAGAGCCATCATAATCCAGCCCTGCACACCTCTCTGTTTCAGCAGCATGGTGGAGGGTGGGGTGTGGGGGGTGGGGGGATGGGCGGGGGCAGAGCCATGCAACAGGTAGAAGGTAAAATGGAAGCAGATAGAGAAAGTAGCCAACTGAAACAGATGGGAATAGCAAGGTCTGGGGAGACATTTTAGGAGTTTATGTCTAGACCATCTTCCAAGGCAAGAGGCCTCTGCAAATCAGCAGCCTGGTGCCCCAGAGGCACCTTTGGCCAGGCAGCCAGGGGATCCACAGGGGGAACTGTCCAGAAACTGAGATTGTGCTAGTGGCCAGTGAGGTGCTATAGTTAAGCTATCTGTTCTGTTCTTATACAGAGGGCTAGAAGATTCTGGCCACACTTCTGGGCTAGATTACAGCACCTCGCCCTATGAGGTGAGGGAGGTCTTTTATTATCTTTCCTCAAACTATTCCAGGTCTCAGTCTCAAGTGATACAAATATGCACAGTGGGTTCCAGCCACTCACTTACCAGGAACAACCCCACCTTAAGAGCACTGCCTTCTTATACCTCACCCACCAGGCTAAAGGCCAGAAAATCATGTTCTGACTAAATATAAATTAATTCATTTAATTAAATACATGAACAAACCTATAGCAGTTGAATCAACACTAAAATAAATGCCTAAAAAGACTCTGAGTAGTTGGCTTTGAACCTAAAATGGGTACAAGGGATGGAGGCTGGATTTCAAGCCAATAGTGCCTGGGTGGAGGGGCTTTTGAGTGGAGCAGAAGAGCTCACCAAGCTGGACTAGTGCAAAAGATGTCAGTCTACTGTGCTGCTTAGCAGCAGAGGGACCCAGGAAAGTTAAACTCACTGTGCTTCAGTGTTTTCATCTGTGAAATGGGAAGATTAGAGCCTATCTCGTAGGGTGCTATTTCTTTTCCTCAGGATTTTCGATGAAATTATTTATGTAAGAAATGACCTGGTATCTCATAAGTGCTCCCTATCTTGTAGTGTGTATAGATATTAACTGTGCTGAAAGTTTTTGCTCTGACTGCTCTGACTGGAAACGTGTCCTGGTGTGGCAGCAATCAAACTGATTCCAGCCGATTGGAGTTCGACCACCCCAAGAATGCTCAATCCAGGGGTATGAATCACCTCCAGTCTCCGAGACAAGTCCCAGGCCTTGCGGGGCAGCCCACCCTGTGTGGTACCTCACACTACTCAGTCCTCTGACTTAAATTCCCTTTCATGGCTCCCCATCATGGACAAGACGAAATCTAAGCCCTTTCCGGGCGCAACTCACTCTAGCCTCTGCCATCATCCAGCTCTCTCCCAGACAGTGTCTAGCCGGACTCACACCCTCATTCAGACACACCACACTCTAGACAGGCTGAATTACTTTCAGTGTGCACCTTCCACAATTTCACAGACGTCATTCTCTCTGCCAAGGACACTTTTCTTCCTTGATGGAACCATCCTTTAATATTAGTTGGATGCCATGTCTTCCGGGAGGGGTAGTGATGTGCCTCCTACGAGGTCCCAGGGCCCCTGAGGACTCTGCTCAACCGTTTCTGCTTCGGTCCCAGCACTGGGGGCGGGGGGTGGAGGGTGTCCCTGCCGGTAAGGCTGTACTTCAATAACTGGGACTAACAATCCCAACCCCTTGGTAAAGAGCTCGGCACAGGCACCGGCGGGAAACGCCCTTACCTCTCTGGGCAAACGGGGCACGGGTTCTCGTGTGGACCGCAGAGCTACTACGGAGGCATCACACCAGCGCCACCCCGCCGCCACAGCTGGTGTCTCCCACCCGCCCGGAGACGCCTGTGATTTGCATACCCATGGTGCACCACGAAAAACCAGTTTCACGCTGCTGGAGTTCCAGCCCCACCAAGATTTCTGTGCTGTTTAGGGCATACTACCTGTTAGAAATCTATGGTCTATAGAAATTCCAAGCAGGGAGCATGAACCGTGCAGACACTGAACAACCATAAGTGTGCTAAGTGTTGTCTTGCTCTAGGGAATTCCAAGAGAGGCTGAGAGAGTATGCTCTGGTTTCTCTTCAAATCGCATAAATCTTTCGCCTTTTACTAAAGATTTCCGTGGAGAGAAACAATTATGAGTTTTTACCCAAATTTTTTGAGGCCTCGTTTTGAGGCTAATTTTTATGGTTAAAAAAAGAAGTGACCCAACTTTCATAATACATTGTGGCTTTTATTTCTGGGTGGGTATAGTTCCTGCTTCCCAAACAAAAGTAAGTGTGAGGTGCTTTTTAGGTTTTTTTTGAGAAGCTATTTCAGAGCCGGTGTGGGTAACACTGTAGTAACTACTTTCATTTATAAAGAGTTTAGTTTATTAGTGACACCAAACGTTGAAAAGGTTGGATAGATAACATAGCCAGGTAAGTAATTTATAATCTCTGTGGGGGAGAGCCGTAAATGGATAAAGGGCTAGCCACCACATGAGTCCTTGGGTTTTAGACTCAGATTCTCCCATTTATCTGTATTTTCTCCGGCTTTTTTTTTTTTTTTTTTTTTTTTTTTTACACGTTTACTTTTCAGATAGAGTGTGAATGCGGCAGAGGCAGAGAGAGAAGGAGACAGAATCCCAAGCAGATTCCAGGCTCAGAACTGTCAGGCTCTGACTGGAACTCTTGAGCCACGAGATCATGACCCAAGCCAAAGTCAGATCAGATGTTCAACCTGAGTTCATGACCTGAGCTGAAGTCAGATGTTCAACCGACTGAGCCACCCAGGTACCCCAGCATCTTCTCTGGCTTTAACTACATACCATATCATGGCTGGTGACCTCCATAAATTTACAGCTGGGATCAGTGATGGCCATATTCAAAGCATAAGCTTCAAGCAACCACATTTTACTCCACCCTGGTCCAAGAAGAGCTCTTGATGGATTCATACAAAACTCTCCTCTGTAACTATTCTTAGACTGTACCTCATTCCCTACCGCCCCTTTGTCCTAATCTTCCATACAACACCCACAAATTGTTTTAATGTAAATCTGATCACACACTCCATTCTCCAGCCTGCACAAACCCCTCCAAATGCCTTTCTCCAGGACATGTGGTTTGTGCCCCTCGTCCTTTAGGTCTCCAGTCCTGAGTCTCCAGAGGTCCACCCTCACCACCCTGTATGAAACAACCCCACTCCTGCCACATCACTCTTTATCCTTTTAATCTGTTTTATTTTTTTTCAGAGTACAAACTACTTCCTGAAATTATATCATATATTAATTTCTTTACTTGTCTGCTGTATGTTTCTCCTAGAATGTAAGTTCCTCGAGGCAGGGAATTTACCTGACTTATTCTCTGATGGATCCCATGACCCTAAATCAGTGCCTTTCACATGAGCACTCAATACTTATGGAACAAATGAATGGATTCATATATATAT